CGTTATCCATGATGCAAGGCTTCAGACAACACTGATCAACACAAATCAAGCTTGCTATGGTATTGGAAACATTCAGTATAATCCTCAGTGGGGGTCACATTTCTTCTTTGGTGGACCTGGCTGTTCTTAAACCCGCAAAATGTTGTTAAAATAATAATGCCATGGGAACTTAAATAAGAGAATGGCGGCATTTCTCATCAAATCTTACCCAATGCATGGGAGTTGCGCCAGTGAGCCAGAAGGAGTTCTATTGGATCAAGCAGCAGCTTCGATGGGCAGGCAACACTGGAGATTTGGGTCACGGCAGACGTCTCATCCATGGCACTGGCCTCCGATACAACCGCTTTCTCTCCAATCTCATCATCCAGATGTACGGCAAGTGCCGGAGCATCAAAGACACTCCGATTGATTGCGCTCATGGATTTCTACTCGATGATCACTACATTTGCCTTGAGCGGGCATCTGCGAGACTTGGCAACCTGATCTTCGCTTCTTAGGTGGTGGTGGTCATGGACGATGCGTACAGAGATTCGTAGAAAAGCCTCAAATATTCGTGGGCAACACTTGAATCTCCACAAATGGTCCACTGGATTGAGCTAGAGGAGATCTTTCCTGCCATCGCCGCGGCTCTTCGCAATGGTTCTCCTGGGACTTTGGATGGACATTGGCCAGCCAAGGCTACGCTTGTACGCTGAGTCCATCCGCGGCAAATCGCCGGAGAAGCTCTCCAGCGGCCCTCACGTTGTTGAAAACGTGATGATCGACCCCTCGGCGCGGATTGGGTCGGGGGCTTGATAGGGCCCGACGTAGCAGTAGGACCGGATTGCGTGATCGAGGAGGGCGTGAGATTGTCTCGGTGCACGGTGATGCGAGGCGCCCAGATCCGGAAGCACTCGAGTTGGTCCGGGAGTATTATTCGAATCAAAACCAGCACTTTCAAGCCCGAGATTGTCATGTAGTAGAGGAAGAACACACACCCGTATTGTGTGGTGATATCATGGTAACTTATAGCGATTTCGGCATTGGGATTTCAAGGGCTTAAAAAAGGATGTGAGCTGACAGTGAAAGATTCGTTGCTTGGAATTAAGTCTCGAGCAAGAGACACAAACCATGGGAAACATGCTTCTTTGTAGCTGTTAAGCTGTCGGTGTTGTGTCTGCGGACACGGTATCTCAAGTGAAAGGCCAAAGAAATAAGTAGAAGAAATAACAAAGTTCTTGACCCAATTTTTTTATTTTTAAAATCTTCTTATCTTGTTTTGGTTTTTTTCTGGTAGTACTAAGCTGTTGACAGCTTCTTTCAAAATCACAGCTTCACCATAAGCCTGTGTGAGTATGAAAAGATCATCGTGAAAGACAGGGACAGCGACAGGCTGAAGACGCAGATGTCGTTGCAGATCCAGCAATCTGAGCAGCATTCCTAAACCTGTTGGTCTCATGAGGGAGATATATGAAACATTTTGATTTTTGGCAAAAACAAATTGATATTAAATGTTTTTGGGGTCTCATAATTACCTATGTAATTTTTTGTTGAAGTTCCCTGAATTCCTCCATCCTTTTATGGCTTCCTCCATAAAAGAAGCATTGGATTAGCGGCACTGTATAACGAAATATGCCCACTATTTTCTACAACGAAATTGGTAAAGAAAATGCAATTTGGTTGGGGCTGGCAATATATATTTGCAGAAAAAATACCCCATCCATTGTGTCCCAAAAGAACTAAATTTCCATCTTTTTGGAGTGTTAGCTTACATCCACTTCCACCACCTTTCCCAGCAGTATCACTCCACCATAGTACTTTCCATTCAAATCCATATAACACTAAGTTGCAATCATATTCCAAAACTAGTTGGTAAAAGCCATTTGGAGAAATTAGACGACCTCCATCATTGAGAAATGATCCAATTGTTTCTATGTCTCCACTAGTCATGGATGAATAATATATATTACAGTCATTTGGAATAGCTAGAACAACTTCTCTTGTGACATTGTACAAAAGATCAGCTTGGAGGTTAGAGTTTTTGGTAATGTAATTAATATCCTGTATAGGAAGATAGTAAGCTGAATAATCAATCTCTATAACACCTGCTGATGCCCTTACAAAACCATAGAACTGTAGTCGAGCCTCTTGCATAATCCTTGTAGCCACGAAATCAAAAGCTAGTCTTAAGATATCACCAGAATATTTGCGAAGGTGATGGACGAGCGCTACAACGTCCACTAGTTTCTCTTGTATAGATACTAAGCCTTGAATAGCAATAAAAGTTTGGAGCAGATGGAAGCCTAAATGTCTTATAGAATGATTGTGTTCCATATAAGTATCCAGGTAAAATTTCAAGAGAAATTTGTGCTCTAATATTATGCTCGATAATGTCAGCATCAGTAGGACTTATCCTTCCTGGACTATTTGTAGCAATGATTGTAACACTACTGCAAAAATTTACGGAAAGTAACAAAAAAAACATCAATTTCCTGATGAACCCCGTTTTCTCGTGATATATATACTTCATAGCTGGCTCTAGAAAAAGCCTTTCAATTAATAATGTTTAAACATTTTTTTTTTATACCTCTTGACAAGAATTTTCATACTTATTACTAAACGAAGTGAGACTATTTATAATAATCTTTGTTTGTTATGGGAAGTCAATATATATCATGTCTTACTATGTGTTTTTAGTCAATAAATGACTTATGTAGTATTGGATATTCTTTGGATTTAGATATGATGGGATATTCTTATATAATGCATTATGGTTATCTTCTATATTTAGGCTGATAGATACCTCAGGTATTACAAAAATCTGGGAAGGGAATTGCTGTACCGCATAGAATCATCAGTCGATGCTCATCAGGTTATCCATGATGCAAGGCTTCAGACAAAACTGATCAACATCAATCAAGCGTGCTATAGTATGGGAGGGGTCACATTTCTTCTTCAATGGACACAAAATGTTGTTAAAATAATAATGCCATGGGAACTTAAATGAGAGAATGGCGGCATTTGGGGAATCCTTGTCGAATCTTTACCCGATGCATGGGAGTTGCGCCAGTGAGCCAGGAGGAGCTCTATGGCATCGAGCAGCAGCTGCGATGGGCGGGCAACACTGGAGATTTGGCTCACGGCAGACGGATCCATCGTGTCATTCTTGGCACCGGCCTCCGATACAACCGCTTTGTCTCCAATCTCCTCATCCAGATGTACGGCAAGTGCCGGAGCATCAAAGACGCGACCGAAGTCTTCAGATCGATTGCGCGCCCGGATTTCTACTCGTACAACATCATGATCACTACATTTGCCTTGAACGGGCATCTGGATGACGCCAATGCTCTCTTTCTTTCGATGCCCACCAAGGACTTGATATCTTGGAATACGGGGTTGGCATTGTATGGAAAACTGGGCCGGCCACACGATGCAAAGCGAATGCTTTTTTTTATGCCCCAACACAGCGTTGCGTCCTGGACAAGTGTCCTGCATGCATATGCCCGGATTGGGCATCTTGACGAGGCACGAAGAATGTTTGACCGCATCCCTGAGGTCAACACCGTCGCGGCAAATGTGATGCTCTCGGCATATTCTCAGGCTGGAAGTTACAAGCAGGCGCTATCGCTGTTCCAGAGCATAGACCAACGAGATGTGATTTCGTGGAGTGGGATCTTGATGGCATATACCCAAGCTGGCAGCCTACGCGGCGCCAAAAGAATCTTTGATTTGATGCCCAAACGAGACTCTGCAGGGTGGAATATAATGGTTACTGCATATGCCCAGAATGGGCATATGTCGGAGGCAAAGGGGCTGTTCCATTCCGTGCCGGAGTTGACGATTGTTACGTGGACGGCCATGATTGCTTTGTACAGCGAGTGTGGAAACCCCCGAGAGGCATCTTTCATGTTTGATTTAATGCCCAGCAGGAACATTATCAGCTGGAATGCAATCCTAGCCGCACACGCCCAAGACGAAAATTTCACGCTCGTAAAGTCCACCTTTGATTCCATGCCGGAACGCGATGCTGTTTCGTGGACGACCTTGATACAGGCATACGGGATAAATGCTAAAGTCTTTCTAGCGGAGAATACGTATAGAAAAATGCCCCTCTGGGATCTAGTCTCAGGGACTGCTCTTTTGGCGGTATATGCCGAGAATAAGGATCCAGACAATGCGAGGATGCTATTCGATGAATTGCCGGAGCGCAACCTGCTGACGTGGAACAAAATGGTTACTGCGGTGGCAGCCAGCACGGAGCCAAAAGCAATCTCAGACAAGATGCCGGCCTATGACATGGCCACGTGGAACACGATGATTGAGGGATATGGCGGGAGCGGCAACCTTGCTGACGCGGAGGCCTTGTTCCAGAGCGTGAGAAACGTCAGCGACTCGGTGATGTGGACGACAATGCTCCAGGCGTACGCGGCATGTGGTGACGTGGAGAGAGCCGAGGGGACGTTCAATGACATGGCTGCCAGGGACGGGGTGACGTGGATCGTCATGCTGGCAGCGTACGGCACGAACGCGCGGCTGGCCGAGGCGGTCCGTACGTTTGAGGCGATGCCAAAGAGAAACGCGCTGGCTTGGAACACGATAATGAGCGCTTTCATCACTCACGGCCTGGTGGACCGAGCAGCGGAGATCTTTGCAGCGATGCCGGAGCCAAATCTCGCGTCCTGGGCCGCGCTTTTTGGAGCTTTCGCTCACGAAGGAAACACCAACTTTGTCATCGAGTTCTACCGGGAGATGAATCTCGCGGGAGAGAAACCCGACGAGAATGTGTTCTTGAGTATCCTCGCCGCCTTTAGCCACGCCGGGATGATCGACGAGAGCTTGAAACACTTCGAGTTCCTGGCGGATCACGGCCTCGCGGCGATCAAGGAGCACTACTGCTGCATCGTGGATGTTCTGTCCAGAGCCGGCCAGTTGAAAGAGGCTGAGAAGCTGATAGAGACCATGCCTTTCATTCCGGATCAATCAGCCCTGGGAGCACTGCTGTGTGCTTGCAAGACGCAGAGTGACATCGAGCGAGGATCACGAGCAGCGAGGCTCGCGATCGATCTCGAGCCTGAAAGTTCCTGTGCACCACTGGTGGGAATCGTGAACATCTACTCTGAGAACCCTCTGAGTTAAACGGAAAACACACTGACCTCTAGATGATCTTCTAAAAACTTGGAAGATCTTTACGTTAAGAATTCGATCATACAGTAAGTATTCATCTATATCCTGGAAGAACACTGATCATACAAGAAAGTCGATCATCTAAAAAGGATCATACCTCTCTCGCTGGAAGGAAATCGAAAGAAATCACGAGAGCCCAGGAGAAGGAACGACCACTGCTGCTATTTGTTGAGGCCATACTTCTCTTGCATCCGGGAGAGCTCCTCCTCCTTCTTGCGCTGGTCGTTCTTCTTGGACATCTTGGCCTGCTGGTAGTAGAGAACGATGAGGTACCTGTTGGCGACATTGAATCCCGAGAGATGATCCACGGCGTTCTTGGCGTCATAGATGTCCTCGTAGACGACGAAGGCGGTGCCGCGCGTGTCCTTGTTGTTCCCCACCCTAATTTGCCGGATCGCGCCATACTTGCCGAAGATGTCATACATCTCCTCGGACGAGATGTTGAAGGGCAGATTGCGCACGTACAAGACCCGATTCACCTCCGGCGGAAGCCGCGTGTTGCCGCGCCTCACCAGCGCTGCCATTGCCCAAGAACCCTAATCTAAGAGCCCTAAAATCTAAAATCTCGTGAAATTTAAGTAGACTTCGAAATGGCAGAAAGTGAGCCCATCGCAGCCGTCCATCGGCCCATGTGCCGACCACGTGGCAGGAAAAAACCGTCCACGTCACTTGTCCGGCTGACCTACAGCGCTTCGTTCTCGGCTTTGTTATCCAACACATTTGGCTGTGACGCTTCCGGCAGGTGCGGCGCGATTGGCGGCGCTGATGCCGTGCTAGGGTTGCTCAATCGGCGCCGAGCCGGGATGCTCCACTCCGATTGGGGCCTCATTCGGCCGTGATCGACCGACACCGAAAAGAGGGGCCAGGGTCTAGGCGCCGGCGCGTCGCTGCTGCTGGCGCAAGATCTGGATCGTCATCTCCAAAGATTTCCTCGCGAATACCGGTATGGTCGTCCTCGATCCCAGGTAGGGGTTTCTAGCAGGGCAGGGCAGGGCAGTCGATCGATCGCTGATCGCCTACTTGCGGCTATGGCGGCATTCCTGTGAGCCAAATCGAGCGATCCTCGGGGGATAATGTCCGCAGATGGAAATTCCGGGAGAGATCGGCTTCTTTCTCGGATGGGATCCTCAGGGCTGGCTGTTTTGCTCGACAGCGGCAGCAAGGAATCCCTGGTCACAGCTGCGGCGTGCATGGTAGACGAGTGCACGCGCTCCACGCTCGATCGATCCATCGCGTTCGTCCTAGATTACTCCAGCGAGGTGGTCGAGCAGCAGCCTCGGTTCGTCGTCGGCGATAGCAAGATAGATTCCTCCAGCATCCAGCTCCACCTCCAGTCCCGCCTCGCCGCATTGGGTTCCAGTTCTAGCACCGATGTCTCGGCCAGCTACAAGGATGGTGTTTTCATCGAAGGGAGTAGCGACCCTCTCTCGGGGGTCGTCAGGATGGACAAAGGGAGACCCTCTGGAGATATCAAGCTTTCCAAGAGCTCCTTGTTGCTGGAGAGTCAGGCCATCTTTAGCAGCGCTCGAGCAAACGCTTGCGTGTGGAGGGGGAAGTGGATGTACGAGGTGACCTTGGGCACGGCGGGGATCCAGCAGCTGGGATGGGCGACCATCTCTTGTCCCTTCACGGACTCCGAGGGCGTTGGAGACGCCAGTGACTCGTATGCTTACGATGGTCGACGAGTGAAAAAGTGGAGTGGGAAGAGCCAGACGTATGGCGAGCCTTGGGTGGTCGGGGACGTAATCGGCTGCTGCATCGATCTGGAACAGGGGCAGATTTTCTTCTACCGGAATGGGACGTCGCTGGGGATGGCTTACGACTGTGTGAGGAGGATGGAGGTCAAGCAGGGGTACTATCCGGCTATCTCTCTCTCGCACGGAGAGCGCTGCGAGCTCAACTTTGGCGGTCGGCCTTTTAGATATCCAATCGCGGGGTTCTTGCCGCTGCAAGCACCGCCGCTGGACACTTCTGGTACCAACAAGCACGGCTCCGTGATCGTCAAAGCCAAGTATCTGTTTGGATGCTTACAAAAGCTTGTCCAGCTTGGGAGCCCAGAGGTGGCGGCGGCCATGGCTCCCGCGGAAAGGCTGCGGAGGTTTACTCCACTTCCTGACGAGCAGTTTCGTGTTGTCGGCACTGAGATCTGCAAGATACTTTGCGAGCTGCTGCAGCAAAGCAGTAAAGCGGAGTACGTTGTCTGGGGAGCGCTGGTTCCTTTCCTCATGACAACTTACAGGCCTGGAGCACCGCACGACGGTCACAGTGTGGATCGAGCTCTTGACTTGCTGATGCCGATGCTGGGGCAGGCTTACTTTGGTACGATCGTTCTTCAGATCATCGAGTGCCTGGCGTATGGGTGCCGGACTTCGCCCCTGGTGTTGGCCGACTCTCCGTTTAGCGCCTCGTACTCGCATTTGGCACTGGCCTGTCATCTACTTCAGCGTGACGACTTCATGGTCATCTGGTGGAAATCTGACGACTTTGAGTCCTGCTTGGAGGGGCTGCTGACGAGAAAGGGGCCTAACAAGTACGACTTGGAGAGCCTTATACCCACCGTATGGTGGCCGGGTTCCCGTGAAGAACATCCTTTCTCGGAGAGCAACATGAGGCAGATCGTCATTGCTTTATCTCGTGCAATATCCAGGGTAAGTCAGTAGCATGCATGGTTTTCTTGCTCTGGAACTAACGTGGCCATCACTTTTTTTTTTCTTTTCAGATCGAGGACTTGCACTTCGATCTGTGTAACCGGCTGGTTGCTTTTGACACGAAGTCGAATGCTACCGGTTCTATATTCAGAACGTTTTTGCAACACCTTGTTCTGAAGAACCGTGGGGCACACAGAAACATGCCGCCGCCGGGTCTCTCCGACAACTCGGTCTTGGTTTCGGTGTACACTGTACTCTTGCGGTACCTTTCGGAGGGTCTCGACTCGACAGGGGATGGCCATGGAAGCTGCGTGCCGTTCCTGCACAAGGGAGGAAAGCACAGCTTTCCGGTATCTCTGTTTGTGAGCTCGGACCCCTGCTTGAACGATTTCGCCCGCCTTGGTGGAACCTACAGCTATCTTACGAAGACATGTCCTCTCAGCTCAATCGAATGCGAAGAAGTTGAGTGGGAAGAAAGCAGTATGGACAAGCAGGAAACTAGATACGGACACGATGCTGGGTTGAAAAAGCCATGTTGCTGCATGGACGGTGGTGCAGGTTCCATCGACAGTGGTAACGGTAAGGTTCTATCGAAAGGCTTGGAAACACGCTTCAGTGGCTCCAGTAACAAAGTTAGCGAGACTACGTGTCCTTTGTCGCCAACTGACGCAGAGAGGAGCTATGATGGGGATATGGAAAGCAAGGCTAGCTCCAGTGGAAGGGTCGAGCCTGCCACCAGCACGGCCTCATTGCTACAGAAGGCCAAGAAGGTGTTCATGTCGGTAAAGGAGCTGTCATCTGCGGTACGAGAGGAAGAGTTGCTGGATAAGATGGTGTTGCTCTACCATCTTGGAGTGACTCAGAATTTCAAGCAGGTCTGTTCTTGGTCCTTTTGGTTCTCATTCAAATGTTTTAATGTTTTTGTCTGCAGGCTTCTTATCACATGCAGCATCAGATACAACTGATGGCTCAGCTCGATGAGACGGATCGTCAAATCCGTAGCGATAAGACCTCCGTTGACCAGACAAAGCGCTTGAAAGAAGCGAGAGCTATATTCAAAGAGGATCTTATTGACTATGTACGACAATGTACCTGGTATTTTGGCTTTCTCCCGAGTATATGTGGTTTCATTGCCTTTACGATCTTTCCAGCGACAAGTGCTTACAGTGCGTTTCTTTCGCAGGTACCGCGTCTGCTTGCTTTCTAAATGGAAGCAAAGGGGAATGTATGCGACTTGCATGTGGGTAGCACAGCTCCTCGTTACGATCAGCAAGAAAGATGCTTGCTTCAGCTATGTTCCAGAGTTTTACATAGAGACACTGGTGAGCATAACATGCTTTGATTTCGTGTGAGACTTATTTTGTTGATTCTGTTTTGGTTAGGTGGATTGCTTTCACGCGCTGCGAAGGAGCGACCCGCTTTATGTTCCTCCTTCATCCCTCCTTCAACATGGCTTGTCGTCGTTTGTAAGTATTTCCTTGTTTCTTTTGGAACAAATTTCTAACGAGAGCCTTCAGGTTACGTTCCTCGTGACACATTTTCACGACTCCCGAATAGTGAATGCGGAGATAAGGGATTTTCTCCTCCAGTCTATTTCCGTTCTAGTACAGTTTAAGGAGTATTTAGTAGCTATCGAAGCTTGCAAGGCAGCAGAGGACACGATGGCTGGCGCTCTTTTATCGGCCTTCGACAACAGGTTTTGGATTCCGGTGTCCAACATTCTGTTGCGCCTTTGTAAAGGCTCGGGTTTTGGAACTTCCAAGTCCAGCCACGGTGACTCTTGTTCTCCGTTCTTTCAGGTAGACACGTTTCGTTTTGTTTTCCTGGCGATCTAAAGTTCTGGTGTGGCTTTGTTTCTGCAGCGGCTGTTGCGCGAGAAATGCTTGAAGGACGAGAAGCTGTTCGCCTCTTTCCTGAACCGCCTCTTTAATACATTGAATTGGACAGTCAGCGAGTTCTCCGTCTCTATCAAGGAGATGCACGACCATGACCACCGGCAGGTTACTCATACTAAAAGTTTTTGTTTTGTTCTTCTGGTGCAACTGATTAACTTGTCCGCTGTGACCAGGTTCCAGAATTTCAACAAAGAAAATGTGCAATAATGTTCGAGCTTTCGTGCAACCTGGAAAGAATACTGGAGTTCTTTACGAAGGAGCTGCCACAAGTTTTCCTGGTTGGTCCGGAAATGAACATCATCCGGCTTTGTGAGCTGGTTCTATTTGTGCTCAACCACACCACCTCAAACACGGCAGGCGAGCTGTTCGACAGGTACGTTATCTCGCGTTGGCTCTCCTCGCGAGTTGTTCACCTCTCTGCGTCTCATGCAGCACCATAAAGCAGCAGGGTCAGTCGCTAGAGAAGGTCAACCGCGCCACCATCCTCGCTCCCGTGGTGGGCATCGTGTTGAATCTCTCCGCCGCCACAGACCCTGCTGGCCACAGAATGGAACACGATATCGCGCGGTCAATCGCCAGCGTCGATGTCTCCTCGGTCGCCACCAGGAACTTCCAGTATTTATTTGACTACGATTGGGTAAGCTTTGCTTTTTTTTGTGTGTGTTTGTTTTCCTCGTCACAAGCTAATCGTGTGACCACTCCCACCACAGTTGGGCACGTTCAAAGGGGATCCTTCGCTCGCAAGGCTGTCGGACCTTAACATATTTATTGAGAAGCTCAAGACGGAGTACGCGGAGGCCAGGAAGCGAGCGTGCAAGGCCGAGGCGGAGCTCATCACTAGACACAGTAAAGGAGGTACTTTCCTCTGTTTTGCTCTTTCTTCTTGTTCACGGCCTTGATATGCACAGATGATTTCGAGCTTGGAAATGCAGACAAAGCCGGGGGCGGAGGAGAGCTGTGCAGCATTTGCTATGCGTGCGAGGAGAACGCCGTGTTCCTTCCCTGCAAGCACAGGTCATGCGTGCGCTGCGTCTCTCGTCACCTCCTAAACAACCAGCGCTGCTTCTTCTGCAACGCGGCCATCTGCGAAGTCTGCCCATACGAGGAGCCTTTGTCGCCTCTAAGCGGCGGCGGCCTCAAAGGTGGGGACGTGAATTCCTAGCGATCAAATCGCTCGCTTCCTATAGGTGCCATTCTTGGAGAAACGCTGTAAATTATTCCTTTTGTCTCTCTGGTAGCAAAGCTCTGTAAATTCCAGCCTTGGTTTGCTCAGACGTTGTAGTTGTCGACGTACCACTTGTAAGTCTCGGTCAGCCCCTCGCGGAGAGTGATCCTTGGCTTCCACCCCAGGGTCGCGAGCTTGGAGCTGTCCATGAGCTTCCGGGGAGTTCCATCCGGCTTGGAAGCATCCCACTTGAGCTCCCCTGGAAAGCCCACCACCTCTTTCACCATCTCCGCGAGCTCCTTGATGCTAACTTCCGAGCCACTGCCCATGTTGATGTGTGGAACGTCGCTGTACTTGTCCATCAAGAACACGGCCGCGTCCGCGAGGTCGTCGACGTGGAGAAACTCTCGCAGCGGCGATCCCGTCCCCCACACCACCACCTCCTTGGCTCCATTCACCTTGGCCTCGTGGAACCGGCGGATCAAGGCCGGAAGAACGTGAGAGTTCTCGGGATGGAAGTTGTCGTGAGGGCCGTAGAGATTGGTCGGCATTCCGGAGATGGCGTCCCACTTGTGCTGGATCCTGTAAGCCTGGCACATCTTGATTCCCGCGATCTTGGCCACCGCGTACCACTCGTTTGTCGGCTCCAGCGGACCCGTCAAGAGAGCTTCCTCGGTGATTGGCTGGGGAGCAAACTTTGGATAGATGCACGACGATCCCAGGAACAAGAGCTTGGCCACGCCGCTCCGGTACGCGGCATCGATCACGTTGGTCTGGATCTGCAAGTTGATCCCGATGAAATCGGCCGGATACGTGTTGTTGGCGTGGATCCCTCCCACTTTGGCCGCGGCCACTATCACATACTTGGGCTTTTCCTTGTGGAAGAAATCCTCCACGGCCTCCTGTCTCGTGAGATCCAATTCCTTGTGGCTTCTCAGCAGCAGGCGGCTGAATCCTTCCTTCTCCAGCCGCTGGACGATCGCGGCTCCGACGAGACCGCGGTGGCCGGCAACGAAGATCTTCGCGTCCTTGTCCATCGCCTTCTGGAAATGCGGCGTGAAATCCTTGGCGCTGCGATGGCGCTAGCTAGAGAAGAGAGGATTTTACCTGGGAAACAAGAGATCGCAGCTCCTGCCCGCGATCTAGACGCGCATTCTCTAGTTTCTCCTCCACAAGAAATTCCACGCCCTAAACTATAAAAAAAAGTAGTTAAAACCTAACCCAGGGTTAAAGACTTATTGGACCCTTCGCTTTAATAGCACAAATTAAATGGATGAAAACAAAGCTCAAAGAATAGAATTTTTTGTTCTTTTTTCTTTCGGTCACGTTCTATCTCGCTACAAGCTAAGCTGCGATAGTAAGAAGTGTCTCCCCTGATCAAAGAAATCGAAGCTCCAGACCTCTGGTATAACATATGTTTGTTCTTCGTGGTGTTGGGTGATGGCTATAGATAAAAGTTCCTGGCCTGGAGCTCGCGGCTTCTTTGGATCAAAAGGATGGATTACTTGGCTGACTTACGGCGATTGGAGAGCCTTCCGACTTGACGAAGGCTCCCATGTAGTTCCCCCGCGGGAGGAACTCGGGGTGAGCTCCTGGCTGCTGCTGCTGCTGCTGCGGCTGAGACGGTGGTGAGCGCTGCGATTGTTGCTGCTGTTGGCTGTCGATCGCGTTCTGTGCCTGCTGCTGGAGCTGCTGGAGCTGCTGCATCTGGAAGTACTGCGCGTTGATCGACAGCTGCTGCTGCTGGCCCCCCGGGCCTGTAAGTTGGCCAGTGGCCAACTTCAGCCTTTGGACTTCCTCCTTGAGTGCATCGTTTAAAGCTGGAGGGAGAAACACACAAACTATCAGTTTATCTGATGAAACGTGGAATGTGCTTCCTACCGTCTCGGAGCTGTCCTTGTTGCTCCATGGCGGTTAGCCGAAGTTTCAGTTCGTTGTTCTCTGTGGTCAGCCCCGTTGTATCCCGCTGCCACCACGAAGCGGAAGTGTGAGAGGAGAAGAAAGAAACAAGTTTTACCTGAAGCATCGTCAACTGAGCCGATAGTGTTGTGGCTTCCGTCTGGAGCGTTTGTACTTTACGCTCCAGCTCGGAGATGTAACGCATCTTGCGCTCCTTCGAGCGAGCAGCTGACTGCCGGTTTGCAAGTATTCTGCAGCAGAGAAAGAGAAAGCAGCTTAGCCATGTGATCATTCTAGGAAACGAGGACAGAAAGCTCTACCTTTTTGGCTCGCTTTGGATCAATAAGAGCAAGCTCGGCAAGCTTGCTGGCCGCAAGAGCCTTCTTCGCCTCGGTGCTGTCCGACCTCCGAGTTTAAAAAGTCACTTTTGAAAGAATCCATCGAGTTGCTGTGATGGTGTCTTGGACGACGCGGCTCCGAGTTGGAGTTGCTGCCAGCCGGCCCTCCGGCATTGAAAGAAGCAAGCACTCCATCCGTGCACAGGCTCCGAGAATGGTGGTGCTTGGTGGCTGGACCCATCCGACTTAGTGGGAGTTGCG